TGCCAGCTCATCTGAGAGTTGCGGTTTTAAAAAGTCCCTATCTTAAATTCATCATTTTTTTTTGTTTTTTTTTCTTTCTTGATACAGAGTCTCAACTCTGTTGCTCAGGCTGGAGTGCAGTAGTGCGATCTCAGCTCACTGCAACCTCCGGCTCCTGGGCTGAAGTGATCCTCCTGCTTCAGCCTCCCGAGTAGCTGGGACCGTAGGCATGAGCCACCATGCCCAACTAATTTTTGTATGTTTTTGTAGAGATGGGGTTTCACCATGTTGCCCAGGCTGGTCTTGAAGTCCTTGGCTCAAGTGATTCTCCTGCCTCGGCCTCACCCTTGTTTCTTTCTTTCTTTTTTTTTTTTTGGAGAAAGAGTTTTGTTCTTGTTGCTCAGGCTAGAGTGCAATGGCACAATCTTGGTTCACCGCAACCTCAGCCTCCCGGGATCAAGTGATTCTCCTGCCTCCCCTTTCTGAGTAGCTGGGATTATAGTCGCCCACCACCAAGCCAGGCTAATTTCTGTATTTTCAGTAGAGATGGGGTTTCACCATGTTGGCCAGGCTGGTCTCGAACTCCTGACCTCAGGTGGTCCACCCACTTTGGCCTCCCAAACTGCTGGGATTACAGGCATGAGCCACTGTGCCTGGCCCCCTTGTTTCTTAATTGTAGCCCTCCAAGTCTTTCAACCAAGAACCTCGAGTGCTCATTTGGCCTCTACAGGCCTCTACCTCCAACAGGTACTGACTTTCAGAGCTTGTCTCCTCAGCATAAAACTTTGCTCTTCATATCATAGGCTTTTTCCTTAGCGTACTAGTTTCCTGTTGCTGCTGTAACAAATTATCACAAACCCAGTGCTTAAAATGGCACAAATATATTATTTTACAGTTCTGGAGGTCAGAAATCCAAAATGGGTTTCATTGAACTGAAATGAAGATGTCAGCAGGGCTGCATTCCTTCTGGAGGCTCTAATAGAGAATCCATTTCCTTGTCTGTTCCAGTTAGAGGCCCCTGAACTCCTCAGCCTACAAGCCGTTCCCTTGTCTGTTCCAGTTAGAGGCCCCTGAACTCCTTAGCCCACAAGCCGTTTCCTCCAATTTCAAAGCCAACAGCATCTTCAACTCTCTGACTCTGACTTTTGTAAGGACCCTTGTGATTTAACTGGACCCACCTGAATAATCCAGGATAACCCCATTTCAAGACCTTAATTTAATCAAACATCTGCAAAGCCCTTTTTGCCATGTAACATAACATAGGCACAGGTTATGGGGGTTGGGACATAGACATATCTGGAGGACCATTATATTGGTCAGGACACTTAGCTTTTTAGGTTCCTACTTACAGTTTCCGGAGTCTTGCACTGTCGCCCAGGCTGGAGTGCAGTGGTTCGATCTCCGCTCACTGCAGGCTCCGCCTCCCGGGTTCCCGCCATTCTCCTGCCTCAGCCTCCTGAGTAGCTGGGACTACAGGCGCCGCCACCACGCCCGGCTAATTTTTTGTAGTTTTAGTAGAGACGGGATTTCACCGTGTTAGCCGGGATTGTCTCGATCTCCTGACCTCGTGATCTGCCCGCCTTGGCCTCCCAAAATGTTGGGATTACAGGCGTGAGCCACCGCGCCCAGCCTGAATTCAGCATGTCTTGAAAAGAAAACCTACCATGTGATAGGCTTAGTTCTACTTTTTCCTTTTTTATGGGATCTTCTTCCCTCCAGACTCTCATTTTACCTCCTTAGCTTTGTTAAGACTGCTGACTCGGCTGGGCACAGCAACTCACTCCTGTAATCCTACCACTTTCGGAAGGCCAAGGCGGGCAGATTGCCTGAGCTCAGGAGTTGGAAACCAGCCTGGGCAATATGGTGAAACCCTGTCTTTACCAAAAATACAAAAAATTAGGGCCAAGCATGGTGGCTCATGCATGTAATCCCAGCACTTTGGGAGGCCTAGGTGGGTGGATCCCTTGAGGTCAAGAGTTTGAGACCAGCCTGCCCAACATGGTGAAACCCCATCTCTGCTAAAAATACAAAAATTAACTGGGCGTGGTGGCGGGCTGCTGTAATCCCAGCTACTTGGGACCTGGGGTAGGAGAATCACTTCAACCCGGGAGGTGATAGTTGCCGTGAGCCAAGATTGCGCCACTGCACTCCAGCCTGGGTGACAGAGTGAAACTCCATCTCAAAAAAAAAAAAAAAAAAAAAGCCAGGCATGGTGCTGCATGCCTGTAATCCCAGCTATTTGGGAGGCTGAGACATGATAATTGCTTGAATCAGGGAGGCAGAGGTTGCAGTGAGCCGAGATCGTGCTGCTGCACTCCAGCCTGGGCCACAGAGCAAGACTCTGTCTTAAAGTAAAATTAATAAAAAATTTTATAAAGTAAAGACCGCCAACTCTCCTACTAGTTTAATTTTCCCTCAGTAATTGGTTCTCTGCCTAGGCAAGGTCCAGATTCTCAGCCCTGTGCCCTGAATTGGGAAATCCCCCAGGAAAAAAGTCTGTGGCAGAATATCAGCAAATCCCCCAGGAAAAAGTCTGCGGCAGAATATCAGCGAATCCCCCAGGAAAAAGTCCGCGGCAGAATATCAGCTTACCTCCTACAGTTCACCTCTTTCTGGAATTTTGGCTGCTCTAGGCCTGTTTGCTTTGGCAGCTCTCTGATTCATTTTATCCAGCTTTTCTTACTGTTCTTGGTGGGAGCATTGCCTGCTACAACCTGTACCATTATGCCTCTTCCAAGTCACACCTGTAATCCCAGCACTTTGGGAGGCTGAGGCGGGCCAATTGCTTGAGCTCAGGAGTTTGAGACCAGCCTGGCCAACATGGTGAAACCCTGTCTCTTCAAAAAATACAAAAATTAGCCAGGCGTGTGTGTGGTGCACGTGTGTAATCCCAGCTACTCGGAAGGCTGAGGCAGGAGAATCACTTGAACCTGGGAGGTGAAGGTTGTGGTAAGCCGAGATTGTGCCACTGCACTCCAGCCTGGTTGACAGAGTGGGACTCCCTCTCAAAAAATTAAAATAGAAATAGAAATAGAAGTAAATAAAAGAATTGGGGTCTCACTATTTTGTATTTTTGTCTCACAAACAAAACAAAACAACTCTCGTGTTGTGTGCTTGATTCTGCTTCTTGTCATGTCTTCTCACAAGTCTTTTAAAATTAAGCGATTCTTGGCCAAGAAACAAATGCCAAATCGTCCCATTCTCCAGTGGATCTGGACGAAAACTGGTAATAAAATGAGGCACAACTGGAAAGGAGACATTGCCGAAAAGCCAAGCTGCGTCTGTAAGGAGCTGCACGTGAGCTGGCTGGCACATGTATGCACGCTGTGTCAGGGTCACGGCCATCTTACCATCGCAAGCTGAAAATGTCACCACCGTCTGGACAGTTGGACATGTTTTATTGGGAATATATTTTTTCTCTTTGTTTATATGCCCTGCGATAGTAGGCTGGGTTCAGTAATGAATATGTGAGGCCTTTTGTTTCAGGAAAAGAAAGAACCGATATAATATAAGGTATATATATATCTTTCTCTGTAGGTATGGGTTGTGAACTGCCTGGGTTCAAAGGCAAGCTTTGTCACCTAGTTGTATGACCTTGTGCACTTAATTTCTCTAATCCTCAGTTTTCACATTCACTAAATGGGTATAATTATATAGTACCTCATAGGATTCAGTGAGTTAATACACGTAAAACACTTAGACTAGTGAATGGCACAAACTGAGTGCTCAATAAGTGTTTGCATGATAAATCATACACATAGTTTAGTAGAAATGTAAAACATTTGTAATTATTTTTTTCACTTAACATTATTATTATTTATTATTATTTTTTGAGACAGAGTCTCACTCTGTTGCCAAGGCTGGAGTGCAGTGGCACGATCTCAGCTCACTGCAACCTCCACCTCCTGGGTTCAAGCGATTCTCCTGCCTCAGCCTCCCGAGTAGCTGGGATTACAGGCGTGTGCCACGACGCCCAGCCAACTTTTGTATTTTTAGTAGAGATGGGATTTCATCGTGTGGCAGGCTGGTCTCAAACTCCCAGCCTCAGGTGATCCACCCACCTCAGCCTCCCAAACTGCTGGGATTACAGGTGTGAGCCACTGCGCCCGGCCTATTTTTTTCACTCAGCATTATATTGTGAATAGCTTTTCATGTTCTTGGAATTTGTTTTTTTAAGAGCCAGGGTCCTGCTGTGTCTCCCAGGCTGGAGTGCAGTGGCTGTTCACAGGTGTGATCATCACATACTACAGCCCTGGGCTCCAATGATACTTCCTGCTTCAGCCTCCTGAGTAGCTGGGACTACAGGGACACATCACTGTGTCTTGCAAAACTTTTCTTTAAGGTCTACTTAGAATTTCGTTGCCAGAAAACATCATTATTTCTTTTTTTCTTCTCTTTAAAATTCTCTCGGATCCTGAGAAATACCATAATTTCATTTACCAATCCAGTCCTACTGGGCATTTAAGTTGTTTCAATTTTTAATTGGCTTTTATTTTGACTAATTTTTTTTCTTATCCAAGAATTACAGAGAGGAGAATATCCAGTTTCGAGGGAGTTTAGCATTCTGTAGAGATATTTCTGGAGTTATAATTAGTTAGAAGACTGAATTCTAGTTCAGTTTGCTCCTTTTTCTGGGACTCTATAAAATGAACAGGTTGGACTAAATCTGTTGGGCTCTTTCTGTGCCTTCCTTGTCCTGTTATTGTGCAGGAGCTGAGCTCATTAAAAGTCACACACAAATCTCTAGTATTGATCCTTATAACCATTAGGCAGGGCCTGAGGCTGTCAGAGTCCCTGGCTGATCACCTCTAGTTGCAAGCAGCTTCATCTGACTCCGGTTTCTCTAGCTGACCCAGTATACTTTCTGGTACAAGCACAGTATTCTGTGGGCACCAACCTGGGAAAGGTTTGGAAGTACAGATCTGTGAGAGTGGACTAAGGAACACTTTTGCTCATGGCAGATATGTGTCGTTTAGGTCCTTGTTGGATTGTTGGTAATTCTTCATTCTTGGATTTTTTAGCATGGCTTCTCGCTGTTTCTGGGATGCTGACACTGACAACTATACTCATGATGTTTTCATGAATGTAAGTGTATTTGGAGACCTCTTTTCCCTTTCTAAGGACGTGGGTGCTGCAAGTCAAACTCCTCACTATTGATTAGGATGGAAAGACGCTGCAGTCTTCTGGATGAAATGATTTGACTGTTAGTTTTTGTGTTACTAAAGCCGAAACCTAGCGTGCTGCTTATAGGCAAGGAAACTTGCATGTTTACGTATGACATAATTTTTCATGGTTTGAATTTGTGAATAGCATATTCTTTAGTTAGCATATTAAAATTATTTTTAGCCACTCCTCCATAAATCACTGTGTTCTAAAACTCAATCCTGATAATCCTTATTAAAGTAATAATTTATAACTAAAACTTTAAAATCACTTATTTGTTCATTCGAACAAATCACGCTTTGCTAAGTTGCAAACAAATTTGGATGGCAGGGATTCCATGAGCAAAGGTGATTTTTCTTTTAGTAACAAAATTTATTACTTTATCTTAAAGTCATTTATTAAAATTAAGCAAAAATAAAGAGGAATCTTTAAAAGGAGGTTTCAGGCCGGGTGCAGTGGCTCATGTCTATAATCCCAGCACTTTGGGAGGCCAAGGAGGTCAGGAGTTCGAGACCAGCTTGGCCAACATGGTGAAAGCCTGTCTCTACTAAAAATATAAAACTTTGCCGAGTGTGGTAGTGGGCGCCTGTAATCCCAGCTACTCAGGAGACTGAGGCAGGAGAATCGCTTGAACCCCGGAGGCGGAGGTTGCAGTGAGCCGAGATTGTGCCACTGTACTCCAGCCCAGAGACGGAGGGGGACTCCATCTCAAAAAAAAAAAAGAGAGTTTTTTTTTTTCTTTGCTTCTCGGAGTTAAAACTGCATCTTTTTTGTTTGTTTCTTTGTTTTGATAGAGTCTTGCTCTGTCGCCCAGGCTGGAGAGTGGTGGCACCATCACGGCTCACTGCAACCTCTGCCTCCCAGGTTCAAGCAATTCTCCTGCCTCAGCCTCCTGAGTACCTGGGACTACCGGTGCATGCCACCATGCTTGGCTAATTTTTGTATTTTTAGTAGAGACAAGGTTTCACTATTTGGTCAGGCTGGTCTCCAACTCCTGACCTCAGGTGATCTGCCTGCTTTGGCCTCCCAGAGTGCTGGGATTACAGGCGTGAGCCACCGGGCCCGGCCAAAAAATGCATCTTTAGATGATACAATTCATTCATTCAGCAAATAGTTCTGAGCTCCTATTATGTGTCAGCTTCTGCACTGGAGGGGCTAGGGATAATGATGAATAAGGCAGGAACGATTTCTGCCTATTGACATCCAGTGGGGGCCACTTAATATTCAAATGAACAATATGTAATAAAGAACTTTAGGCCGGATGTGGTGGCTCACATCTGTAATCCCAGCACTCTGGGAGGCTGAGGCAGGCGGATCACCTGAGGTCAGGAGTTTAAGACCAGCCTGGCCAACATGCTGAAACCCCATCTCTACTAAAAATATAAAAACTAGCTGGGCGTGGTGGCGGGCACCTGTAGTCCCAGCTACTTGGGAGGCTGAGGCAGGAGAATTGCTTGAACTCAGAGGGTGGAGGTTGCAGTGAGCCAGGATCGTACCACTGCACTCCAGCCTGGGCAACAGAGCAGGACTCTGTCTCAAAAAAAAAAAAAAAAAAAAAAGCACTTTTTTTGGGAGATTCCAGGAAACATTAGTAGAGACAGAGGAAATGAGAGAGGAGGGCAAATCATGTGCCATTGAGCAGAAAACTGCTGTGGATAACAGGGCTCAGTCCTGTTGGAGAACTCTGGGTGGTGCTGTAGGACAGGGCCACTCACAGGGGGGTGCACAAACCAGCACCACCAGGGCCACTCACAGGGGGGTGCACAAACCAACACCACCAGGGCCACTCACGGGGGTGCACAAACCAACACCCCTCTGTGACCTGTTTGTTACAGGTCCATGATGAGGTAAGCACATACATTGAGTATAAGGGTTGGTGTAGAAAATCTTACAGCAATTTGACGAAGTAATCTTTTGTGCAATGAATCTAAGAAAAAAAACTGGGGCTGTATTTTGTATGTTCTTTTTTTCCATTTCATGTTCTGAGTTATCTATTTTTATTGCATTTTACAAAAGCATCCTTCCATGAGAGACTGGAAGTTAAAAACAAAGCAGGTCCTTTATCACAGCACTGTTGTAGAACACAGTTCAGAGTTATCCACCCAAGGAGCCAGGGAGCTGGGCTAAACCAAAGAATTTTGCTTTTGGTTAATCATCAGGTAGTTGAGTTGGAATTGTTTTAACCCCATCATTACCAGGCTGGAGGTGAGGTTAGTGGTTCAGGAATTGCTGAGGCAGGTGGAAATCTTGTAAGAAGTGCCTAAAAAGTGTTTTAAGCAATTTGAGCTCTGGAAAGCATTTTGTGATTCTGAACTAAAAGATGGACGAATAAATTTTATCAATTAAGAACAAACACCCAGAGACTTTCTCTTATCCAGAATTTATGACAAGGTCCTGTTGTTCTTATTATCAGTGGTACTTATAACATCGTTTCTTGGGATGAGTAATTTTACTCATCAGTTTACTCCAAGAAACTCAAAGCATTTCATACATTATGTCTGCGATAAATCAGGAAATATGTGAATAATTATTTTATGAATATGTATTACTTAAAGTTCATTAGTTCACATTTTATTTCTACATTCAGAAAATCTAATTCTTTACCCATCCTAACCTTTTAGCAAGCAATTTTGTAGTTACCCTCAGGCAAGCAATAGCATAGCTATACTCTGGAAACCCTTCACTTCTTGAAGAAGGAAAAAGTCTTCCTGATTGAAAATTGGTGGCTGAGCGAGGTGGCTCATGCCTGTGATCCCAGCACTTTGGGAGACCAATGTGGGTGGATTGCTTGATCCCAGGAGTTCAAAACCAGCCTGGGCAACATAGCGAGACCTCATCTTTACAAAAAATACACAAAATTAGCCCGATGTGGTGGCATGCCCCTGTGGTCCTAGCTACTCTGAAGGCTGAGTTAGGATTGCTTGAGCCCAGGAGGTCAAGGCTGCAGTGAGCCAAGATCACACCACTGCACTGCAGCCTGGGTGATAGAGTGACACCCTGCCTCAGAAAAGAAAAAAAAATGGAAAGATCTGAGATGGTGTTAGTTTCGATTGCCTGTGCTGCTCTCATTCCCTCTTGAGTACTAACATTCTGGATGTGTGTGTGTGTGTGTGTGTGTTGTATTTGTTTTTTAGGACAGTTTGTTCTGCGTTGTAGCAGCATTTGGCTGTTTCTACTACTGAGTGAATCTTTGAAAAGCTGGGAAAAGACATGACCATGAAGAAATCTGAACTTTTTAATATTGTTAAATATCTTGACAAAATAAAGATGTTACTAGTTTGACAACTGAATCTGTTGTGTTTTAGGCCTTATATTTTTAATGTTTTGATTTTGTTATCCTATGTCTTTCCCTTTCCCTTTCCTTTTCTTTTCTTTTCACAGTCTCGCTCTGTCGCCCAGGCTGGAGTGCGGCGGCACAATCTCGGCCCACTGCAACCTCCACCTCTTGCATTCAAGCGATTCTTCTGCCCCAGCCTCCCAAGTAGCTGGGACTACAGGCAAGTGCCACCACGCTCAGCTAATTTTTTTATTTTTACTAGAGACGGGGTTTCACTATATTGGCCAGGCTGGTCTCAAACTCCTGGCCTCATGATCCGTCCGCTTCAGCTTCCCAGAGTGCTGGGATTACAGGCGTGAGCCACTGCACCCGGCCCTACTGTGTTCTTGTTACACTTGGAACACAGAGAAAAAAGCAGAGGAAAATCCACTTCAATTGTTCAAACATAACCAATGGTAAAAAGTTTGGTATATTTTCTACCAATGGTTTTTATTTCCAAGGTTTTAAAAAAACATATAATTTTATAACCTCATTTTTCATTTCTCATGATGTTATGAACAATTTTTATGTCATTTTATTTGCATTATGATTTTAAGATGCATGACTTAATAGCGGCATTTATTTCAATAGGTTATACCATTGTTACTTTTGCCAGTTCCTTGAGAGTCTGCTTATTTCTGATTTTTCACTATTATAAAAAATAAAGACATGGCTTTATTTGTGCATAAAGTTTTCCCTACATTCTTTAAAATAACTTTTGACTTTATTTATTTATATTTTCAGAGAATGGGCCTTGTTTTGTTGCCCAAGCTGGGGCACAGGGGTGGGACTGTAACTTGCTGCAGCCTTGAACTCTCAGGCTCAAGTGATCCTCCCATGTCAGCCTCCCGAGTGGCTGGGACTATAGGCACGCCAACACACATGGCTGTTTTAAAACATGTTTATTTTTATTTATTTATCGAGACAGAGTCTTGCTCTGTTGCCCAGGCTGGAGTGCAGTGGTACGATCTCGGCTCACTATAACCTCTGCCTCCTGGGTTCAAGAGATTCTCCTGCCTCCTGAGTAGCTGGAATTACAGGCAGGCACCACCATGCCCGCCTAATTTTTGTATTTTTTTTTTGTAGAGATGGGGTTTTGCCATGTTGGCCAGCCTGATCTCAAACTCGTGGCCTCAAGTAATCCGCCTGCCTTGGCCTCCCCAAGTGCTGGGATTACAGGTGTGAGCCACCACAACTGGCCAGTAATTAATTTATTTTTTGAGATGGAGTCTCACTGTCACCCAGGCTGGAGTGCAGTGGCGCCATCTCAGCTCCCTGCAACCTCAGCCTCCCAGGTTCAAGTGATTCTCCTGCCTCAGCCTCCTGAGTAGCTGGGATTATAGGCGTGTGCCACCACGCCCAGCTAATTTTGTATTTTTAGTAGAGGCAGGGTTTCACCATGTTGGCCAGGCTGGTCTTGAACTCCTGACCTCATGATCCGCCCACCTCAGCCTCCCAACAGTAATTTTATTTTTTATAGAGATGAGGCCTTGCTATGTTGCCCAGGCTAGTCTTGAACTCCTGGCCTCAAGTGATCCTCCTCCTTTGGCCTCCCAATATGCTGGGAGTACAGGCATGAACCACCATGCCTGGCTGCTTATTCCTACATTTTGAATTGTTGCCTTCATCTTTCTCACACAGTGTTTTTGCTCAGCTCTTTCCATCCTATGTCTTACATAGCTTATTAGCCTAAACACCCATCCATTTTCTTTGTCCACAGTGTCAGGGTCATATGAAATCAATCCTCTGTATGAAATTCATCCTCCCTTAAGACTCTCTGAGATTCTGATGTTGGTTACTATCTAAACTCTTATTTTTGTAGTGATGTTCCCCGTAGAGTCCCCGGTGTCTCCTCCAGCTAACTGTCCTTATTTGGGGTACCTTAGTCTATCCACCATGTTCAAAGACATATTCGAAATTCAGATTTAAATCCTTTTTCCCCCTGGAGGCTCCTCAGCAGATGCACAGTTATACCCATCCTCTTTCTTCTCAGCCACTTTCAAGTTAAGCATGTTGACCAAGCTTGTCCAAGCCGCGGCCCAGGACAGCTTTGCATGCGGCCCAACACACATTTGTAAACTTTTAAAAAACATCATGAGGTTTGTTTTGCGATTTTTTAAATTAAAGCTCATCAGCTATTGTTAGTGTTACTTTATGTGTGGCCCAAGACAATTCCTCTCCTACCAGTGTGCCCCAGGGAAGCCAAAAGATTGGATATTCTTGATGTAGACCCCCCCCCAAAAAAAAAATCCAAAAAAGCAAAGCAGCAACAACAAAAAAGTTAGCTGGGCGCGGTGGCCTGTGATCCCAACACTTTGGGAGGCCGAGGTGGGCAGATCACTTGCGGTCAGGAGTTTGAGACCAGCCTGACCAACATGGTGAAACCCCGATTCTACTAAAAATACAAAAATTAGCCGGGCGTGGTGGCGTGTGCCTGTAATCCCAGCTACTCGGGACAAGGCACGAGAATCCCTTCAACCCGGGAGGCGGAGGCTGCAGTGAGCCGAGATCGCGCCACTGCACACCAGCCTGGGCGACAGAGCGAGACTCCGTCTTTAAAAAAACAAAAGTAAAAGAACAAGTAAATAAGTTAAAAATGTCTTTTACTTCAGTTCAGTTGGTAATTAAAAAAATAAAAATTTTTTTACAGCCTTCTTCCATAACATTGTGTAGCCACTCACACCTACTGATCAAAAGGGATCCTTCCCAAGGTTCATTCTAGCAAAGGAGAACGTTTCTTCCCCCCATACACCCCCCGGCAGGTGTCTTGATCCACTCCTGCCCAACTAGCTCCCAGCGGATCCCTGGGGATTTGTTATTATTACTATTATTATTTGAGCCAACCTGGGTCAGAAAAAGGAAGGGGGTGGGTCAGCCGCAGGTTCTCAGCGGACGGGGCTGGCGGTCGGAAATTCCCCTTCCATCCCCACGCAGGTAAAAGCTGACGCTGCGGCGAGGCGGCCGCGGTCGGGGCGTCTCCGCGGAGGGCTGCGCGGTGGCGGCCCGGGTGCGGGGTGCGGGGTGCGGCGGGAGGACCTCCGCGCACAGGCCCGCCTGCGCGGACGCGGCCCGAGCTGGGCCACAGGGGAGCCGCCGGGCAGCGCGTCTTGACGGACCGGCGAGCTCTTGCGCCCGTTCACATCGTATCCCTCTTCAAGGAGGCGTGTTCGCTGCATTCTCCGGTTCCGGGCGGAGACTGACCCGGGCCATTCCGTCTCCGGTCTCTGGAATTTCTGCTCGGTCACTTCGTCCCCGGGGCCTCTGAGGAGGCGGAACTACGGTGTCAGGAGTCGCGGTTTTCAAGAAGTCGTGGTCGGATTGACGGGTGGGGGAAGTAGGCGGGACTTCCGGCCGGCTCTTCCATCTGCTGCCTTTCCCGGGCGTCTCCCCGCAACCTCCTCAACTTCCCTAGTCCGTGACGCGGCGCCGGGCAGGAATCCGAGCGGAGCGGGCTCGGGGAGCGTGAGCCGCGGGTGTGCGCCTCTCCGTGCGTCTCCGAGAGGACACTCTGTGGGGCTGGGACCGCGGGGCGACCGTGACCGAGGAAGAGCGGTGAGTGACAGCGAGGCGAGTGGGACCGGGGGCTGCGAGGCCACTGTGACCGAGGGCCGGTGACAGCGGGGCACTGTGACCCGGGGGAGGGAATGCGAAACGCGCGACCGCGAGAGCGCGAGGCCGGGGCTGCGACGGCGCTTGGACCGAGGAAGTATGAGGCGGTGACTGCAGGGGACGATGGCCGAGGGGCCGGGATCGATGGGCGGTGGCCGTGGGGGACCCTGACCGCCACGCGAGCCGCGGCCGCGAGGGGACTGCGACTCAGAGCAGTGACTTGGAGAAGAGGGTGGGGTCAGTGGTGGGCGATGCCACCGTAGGGTTGTGTGTGGGCACGGGCCGCGATGGGCTGTGACTGGGCAGAGAAGGTCGTTGGTGGGAAGGACACTGGTCTGGAATTGACAGACAGGCCTGAGGTGAATTTTCATGGACAGACCCCACCACTGAGTTACAGTTTCTTCATCACTGAGTGGGAAGTTTGGACTAGTTCAATGTCTCCCAGACTACGGGTTTCTTCCCAGTACTGAGCTGGGAAACCAATTCAGTGCATGGAACTCTTTTTCTTTTTTCTTTTTTTGAGACAGTTTCGCTCTTGTCGCCCAGGCTGGAGTGCAGTGGCGCAATCTCGGGCTCACCGCAACCTCCGCCTCCCTGGTTCAAGCGATTCTCCTGCCTCAGCCTCCCTAGTAGGTGGGATTACAGGCGTCCACTACCACGCCCGGCTAATTTTTGTATTTTTAGTAGAGACGGGGTGTCTCCATGTTGGCCAGGCTGGTCTCGAACTCCTGACCTCAGGTGATCCACCTGCCTCGGCCTCCCAAAGTGCTGGGATTACAGGCGTGAGCCACTGTGCCTGGCCTGAACGTGTACTTTTCTTTTAAAAAGTTGAATAGAATAGAAACTTTCAGTGTGTTTACATAGCAAGGGTAAGTATTGTTTCATGTGATTTGAGTTATGTGTGTATGAGATTATGATGTAAAATAGATTTTGTACATCTCAAAGGGTAAGAAGCAAAATGTACTTTAAAAGTTTGAAAAACATTGGACCAGATTATTTCTGAGTTTTCTTTTGGTTCTAAAATGTAATGATTCTCTGACTAGGGAACTGTCTGGAAGTACAAAGATGCAATTGGGAACAGGCTGTATTAGATTGGCCTAACTGGAGGAGGCTTCCTGAATGTAATTGAGGTGACTAGCTCTGAGAGCTGAAACTCGGGATCTCAGTTGGGAGAACCAGAAATTATATTGAAATAGGGACACTGGGTGGGTGTGGTGGCTCATGCCTGGCATCCCAGCTACTCGGGAGGCTGAGGTGGGAGGATTGCTTGAACCTAGGAGGCGGTGGTTGCAGCGAGCTGAGATTACACCACTGCACTCCAGCCTGGGTGAAGAGGGAGACTCTGTCTCAAAAAAAAACAAAAAACAAACAAACAAACAAAAAACGGGACAGTGATATTTATAGAGGCAGTGAGGATTTAGGGGTTTGTAGTATGAGGAACTGCTAATGGGGAACTGGAAGCTTTGAGCGTAGGAACAAGGGTTGGGAAGGAAACTCAAGATAGGGACAGAAAATATTCTGCCAACAATAAAATGGAAGTAGGAAGGAAGATATGAACTCCAGGGCCTATTTATCTTGATATTTAGTGATTTGGCAAGTACAGAAACTTGCTAGTAAGAAGATATTGAGAATGGGATTTGGTGCAGTAATAGCAGTAAACAAATGATGACATGATGAGAAAGGTGGACAAAATGATGATACCCGCGATGTCAGTGATGGTGAGTGGAATGCCACATGGGAGAGACCTCAGTGTACTTGGTTGTCTAATTCAGTGGTTTGTATGCTGGAGGCCAAGCCTGACATGCTAGGAGTGATGCCACACTATGGGTAATGTAAATGAAGTTTTAGCTGCTGACTTTATTTCCTACACATTCCCTTTCTTTAGGGCTGTTAGTGATGTAGATAAAATTAAAGTGAATGTTACTACTTCTCTCTTACAGCCCTTTTTATTTTATTTATTTATTTATTTATTTTTGAGACGGAGGCTTACTCTGTTGCCTAGGCTGGAGTGCGCTGGCACGATCCGAGCTCGCTGCAACCTCCGCCTCCTGGTTCAAAGCGGTTCTCCTGCCTCAGCCTCCTGAATAGCTGGGACTACAGGCATCTGCCACCATACCTGGCTAATTTTTGTATTTTTAGTAGAGACAGGGTTTCACCATGTTGGCGAGGCTGGTCTCAAACTTCCAACCTTAGGTGATCTACCGGCCTCAGCCTCCCAAAGTGCTGGAATTACAGGCATGACCACCGTGCCCGGCCTTACAGCTCCTTTTAGAAGGTGCTACTGACGGTGCCACCAAGTGCTTTTTATAATAGGAGAAGTATGAGGTCATTCAATTTATCAGACACTGTATTAATCTGATAGCCACTCCTGCCTCTACACTCTGTAATAGGGGAATAGGGTTCAGATAGGTTCTTGAATGGCAATGAGTTGAGAATGGTGGGGGATAGCCTTTTCTTGGCTAAAAAAGTTGGCTAGTTACACCTTTTTCTAGCACATTAGATGTTTACTTGACTTACATTCTACTTAACTAAAAGGAACTACCCAAGGATTTCTTCTAGAACAGCATATATGCTTCAAGGTAACAGGCTATAGAAGAGGCTTGGGATTCTGCAGTACTCCCTCTGGGATCTCTTTTCTTTGCTGAATGAAATGAATCTTTTTGTAGGACAAAAGATTTGCTTTGCAAATTCCCTTTGAAAACTAGCATGATGGCCTTGTTGATAAAGAATGAGCTTCATTCCCCCTCAGTCTGTGATTCTTCCCCCATAAGCAGTGGGGTTTTATTTTCCTTGGGGACCTGCTTTTTGAATATGTGATCCCTCAGGAAGAATGATCTAGTTAGATAGAGCCCTGGATTTAGCAGTCCCTGGTTACTTTCTCTGAGATTAACATTGACTGGCCCTGTGACTATGTATGGAAAGCATTATTGCTTTCTCTTGTTTTAGATTTTCTAACCATGGCCAGAGGTAACTGTTCTTATGATTAAACAGCCCTTCAATAATCTGAAATATATGTGAACTTACCAAATTTTATATATAATTTCATAGAGTTTGTAAACCATCTGACTCCATTTATAATTCAGAGCTGCCTAGCCTTTAGGTTAGACAGGATTTCCCTAGGGATCCGAATAACCTCTCCTGGAGATGTTGAAAGTGCTGATAGAGTTAGTTTTTGAAATGCTCAAATAAAAAGCAAGCATAATTTTCCATCGTTATTAATCGTGGATAATAGCAAAATATCTGTTAATAACAGTAGAGTTCTTACTCAAGCATCACGCTTTTCTAAGTATTTACGTAACTCTGATCTGAAGCAGACCTTCTGACTTTTCTGCCAATAGAAGTTTTCCTGTCTAAGTCAAGCAGAAGTAGGTCTCCTTCACATCAAAGTTTGTGTCACCTTGAAATAGATTGGAAAGAATACATTTTTCTAAAAGTCATTTTTTTCTTGGATTTTTTTTTTCCAGTTAGAGAAACCCTGAAGTCAGAGTACTTGCCAGTTATCACAGGACCGTGAGAGTCCCTTTTTTGCTCAAGATTGTGGCTGGCTGCTTGTACATCTTTGACATTGTCACACATCAAGCACATGAGAAAAAGGGGTGGCTTGGGAGAGGGAGGGGTCAGGACTCTAGGCCTTGTCAACCCTCCTGCTCATCTGCTTGGCCACTTCTGGCATCTCCTTTTCCCTCCGTCCTTGAAACTCTTTCCTAGGCATAAACCTTTCTGCTTTTCGTCCTAAACGTCTCTTTTCACAGTATTCCTGTCAAATGAGTACTTGGACATGTGTTTCATATGTGATTTGTTTTGTTAATTGCTTTATGGATTATTTGTGGCAGAATGTAAATCCTAATTCCTTTCTACAATTTAGCCAGTAAATTCCGGGAATGTACCTTTTTACATTTGCAGCATGTGCCGAAGTGCCACCTCAGAAGATAAAAAGAAATGAGTCTCATATTTGGCATTCTTTTAGGTTTGTTTACCTACCTTATTCATTAATGTAAATAATTGAATTACCTATGTTTTACCATTCGTAAACCAGGTTAATAGATATATATTAATAGCAGGCTTTCTGTGTGTGTCGTTTCCCTCCTTTCTTTCCATTTATTTATTTATTTATTTATTTATTTTGAGACCAAGTCTTGCCTTGTTGACCAGGCTAGAATGCAGTGGTGCAATCTTAGCTCACTGCAAACTCTGCCTCCTGGGTTCAAGCGACCTCCTGCCTCAGCTGGGATTACAGGCGCCCGCCACCACGCCCGGCTAATTTTTGTATTTTAGTAGAGATGGGATTTCACCATGTTGGCCAGGCCGGTCTCAAACTCCAGACCTAAGTAATCCACCCACCTTGGCCTCCCAAAGTGTCGGCATTACAGGCGTGAGCCACCGTGCCTTGCCCCTTGCCTTCTTTTGGGAATTCTCTTGTACCACAAGTTGAAAGTTATGTTAGTTTGAGACTTTCTGTGTTTGGACTAGGATGACTGCCAGTGAGCCAGGGGAGCCATGAATCTGCTAGGCGGTTATGTCACATTCACAACTACTTCAAACCAGTTTTAAGGTGAAGGCTGCCAAAAATAATGACATGCGGTTCCTGCTCTATAGACAATGAGCGTATAACCCTTAATAAAAAAACAGGTAGTTTTTTTATATACAGAGAATTACACTAAATGTGATTATGTTTCTTTATTTTTTGACTGCAGAACAGGAATCTTAATCTTTTTTGTGTTATGGACTCCTTTGGCAGTGTGGTGAAAGCGTTTAGAGTTCCTTTTTGGAATATGTTTTCATATGCAAAAATAAAACACATAGAACTATAAAGAAAACCAGTTATATTGAATTATGTTGATATATAGTTATCAAAATATAACAAGTATAATATGATATGAAAATATCCATGATTTCTACTGGTAACAAATCCATTTGTCTAATAAGTCTTCTATTACTGCTGT